CACTTCTTGGGGTGGCTTTGTGGGTGGTGTTTTGGGGGAGGTGGGGTTGGGGAAGGTTTTTGGGTGTCTACAACTAATGCCTAAATAAGTAGAAACTGCCACTGCCCCGCCCCCGCAAATAAAAAAAAAAAAAAGTATCTAAGCGGCAGCTCCTAGGAAATCTGTCAAATGTCAACGACAGCAGCGAGTTGGCAACGTTGACGTTGGCTCATTAAAAAACGAACTTGTCCCAGTCGATGTTGTTTGTGTTGCTGCCTTTTGGGACTGTAGATGACACCTGGGCAAAAGTACTGTGTGTGTGTGTTGGTTTGTCCACGGAAAAAAATCAGATGGAATTCAACAGAATTTTTGCAGCTAATAAACCCATGAACTGAGTTGTCCTTACTGATAAAAATTACAATTTTTGTTTTATGCTCAATCAAGAAAAGAATTATCGCAATTATATATATATATATATATATATATATATATATAAATATGCTTAAAACTTTTTTGCTTTAAAAAGTAAAACAAATGAACAAATGTCCTAAAATTTAAGAATAAAGATGAGCCTGTCCGAAATTTACTAGGAAAAATTAACCTTAATATAGAGTTAAACTTTTTATTCAAAACAACTGAAAAATTAAGCATTGTTACCTAAAAAATGAGCCTGTGCGCTTATATTTTCTAGAAATTCTAGAAAAGGGGTTTTAAAAATGTGCAATAGTTATAATGAAATACTTATGCGATACTTTTACATTTATTGACATAAAAAGGTGGGCATATGTTATTGTGGTACATTAACAAAAATACTATTTTCGTTAAGATCTTTTTTAATATATATATAAGTGGAGTAATATAGTATATAATATTTCTGAATATTTTTCAGTGTTTTTGGGAGGAGGCCTTGGTTCAAAATGGCGGCCTTAGTGCGACCATTTTGGCTGGTGGCCTGGGTGTTTATCACATTGCTGCTATTAATTAAGCTTAACGAGGTTACCGCTCACGACCACACCCCCCTCCACCCGCTAAAAATAGGCGGCAGAATAGTGGGGAAGGGGCGGGGGAAAAGGGGGAAAAGGGGAAACAGGGGGTTGGGTTCATCTTAGTGCGGCAAACTTCATAATGAAATTTCACCTTCATCTCATTAAAAGTCTTGAGCATTTTTCGAGCACAGCGCTTCGTAAATTGATGCGTGTCAGTTGGAAAAGGGTTTTCGCGTCCCAGTCGAGAAGGCAGTGCCACGCCCCTTATCCCACAAAGGCGCCCAGTTTGTTAGCCAGTTTGCCAGTTTCTCGAGTCTTCGACTTTTCCAGCTGCCGTTGAGTGGCAACGCTGGGGCGAATATTTAATTTTTAATGAAGTTTAATGGATGCCGGAAGCTTGAAAGAAACTGAGAAGCGGAACTGGGGAACTCAGGAACTCAGGATTTCAAAGGGGCACCGAAAAGCAACAGCGGACCAATGGAATATGCACATTAACCTGGGCTCTTGTTATTGTTTTTGTTTATTAAACCTTCATTTATTCTCCCAATGCTTAAGTGTATTTTTAGGAAGACAAAATTCGTAACTTATAAATAAATCGGTTGTTCTTACGATTTAATACGTATTAAAATTTAAATATAAGTTTCTACAACTATTTTCCTTATTAAACACCAAAAGTTTTAACAAACGTTAATAATATTAGTTGGTTATTTGCTACTGATACATTACGACGGTTAAAATTTTTTATTTGTTAATTTTTGAATAGTATAAACTTGTTTTTTTTTGGCATTTCATAATATATCAAGAGTACAAAGTACCAATTAGCTAATGCATTTGACAAAACTCCAGATAGTGAATATTCCGGTCAGCCATTCCATTTGCCTTCAATGGAAATGGTTTGAATTTGGGCGTTTAAACTGAACAATAAGCAGGCTATAATCACTTGCAGTTAATTAACATATTATCTGCAGCTTAGATGTTGCGCTGCACTTTGGTAATGCACTTCAAAGTGCATGCACATCAGTGTGCAGCTCTCATTTACATGCATATGGCAGCAATAATTACATGTACCGGACCGCCCACCCCCCCCCAACCCTTCACCCCTTAACCCTTTCACCCTTAACCCCCCAAATGCTTAACACCCTGCTGCCTGATGCCTGCTGCCTGCTGCCCGGTGGAGAAATCTCTTTCGACGAAACGGCATCCAAGTGATTGTAATTCATTAGTCGACAACAACAAACACGATGCATTTGAATGCATGTGTGGGAGCGGGTGCATCTGTGTGGGTGTGGATTATGCAGTTTCCGCTTGACTGCAACTGCAGTTCCATTTCCCCTTTTCCCATGTCTCCATATCCCCATTTCCCCATTTCACCATTTCCACACTGCCCATTTCCACATTTACACGGCTGCAATTGCGATTGCAGCTGCTGATGCCGCCATTTTATCTAATTGCGTTGCCCCCTTCCTTCGCCCAACGGCATTACGCATACGCCGCGTGGTCCATATCATTAAAATTACGAGTGCTTCACGCACGCGAAAAAAGAATTGGTTTTCAGCTAAGAAGAAGCGAGGGCGGCGCACAGGATTATCAATATATTACAGTGAAATTAAAAAAAATAACTCGAAAATGTAATTCAAATTCTTCCAACGACATGGAGCATTACTAAGACGTACAAAATATCACAACTATTTAAAGAAAATAGGTATGTTAGAGATAATTTATATATTTTATTAAATGGTTGCATTTAATTTTAGACTTTTATCTAAAACTAATTAAATATTTATTTCAATTTTATGGATTTGAACTTTAGTAAACACAAAGGGTACCGTACACAATTAAACAATTAAATATTAAAAAAAGTTTAAAACCAAAGTAAAATCACTCAATAATCATCTGAACATACAATTTTCAAGGAGAAAGTTTGTACAGGTTTTTACTAAAGCATTGATTTAAAAAATCAGAAAAAGAAACTCTAAATAATTTTATAGCAGACCTTCATTTTGGAATTGTTGAAAAATAATAAATAATAACACAAATAAAACATTTATAAGTTAATTAAAACTTTCAGAAATTTAGTAAGTGCTGTTAGTCTTTTCGACTTGCTGGTCTTTTAAATCCTCTAAAAAGGCTTTTGGTAAAAATATAAGATTTATTGAATATTTAAATAAAATGTTGACATGTCAACACCTAATTGCAAACGATTCTCCGTTGTAAAATCGCTTCAAATTCGCATAACACCCACGACTGCGAGCGTATCCCCTGCAATTGCGATAATGAAAGGCTCTTTTACAGGACTATCAATAGAGCTGTCCACCACCACCCTTTTTACCGCCTATTCCAGAACCTTTTAACCCATGCTGGCCCTCATAAATTGCTGCATACCGAAGGGCGATGGAGCGTCTGCAGCCTTGACAACTGCAAGTGGCATTAGTTGGAGCAAATACAACGGACAACAATTACAATTGCAGGCTTTGCATTACTTTTCCCTAGTACAAGGGATTTGCATTTGTTTGCTAATTGAAATTAAGCAAATAATACGAAGCGAGACTTCCACCCACGTAATCCTTTTGTAGCGCATTAAAACGAGAAGGGTTCGCAAAAATAAAAACAAAAAAAAAATACCAAAAAAGGGGTTCCCGTTTCGGGTTAAATAATTTAAATCCATTTGTAAAACATTTGATGCTGCCCTTTGGCAATTGTCACGCCCTTTTGCCCTTTTTCCCTTTTCCATATATTTTTTTTGTTCGACTTTTCCTACTTTTTCCTGGCCGATAATTAGTATGGAAAAAGGTCCTTGGAATAATCAAATGTTTAAAAAAGATTTGGCAAAGTAAATCCCAAGGAATTATTTGCCACTTGAAACGTTTAAAAATGTCAAACAAGAGGATGGCCGAAATGGATGAATAGATGGCTGGAAGACGTTGCTGATGAGGGTGAACCAGAAGACCTTAACCCACCACCGCCCTGGCTCGTTTTCGTTTTCTCTTCTTCATTTTTTTTTTTTTGTCGAGGGGTCAGACAAACTTAATGAGCAAATTGTCAAATGCCGCGGCAAAGCGCGCACTTAGACATGCCCTGAAAAATCCCCAAGAAAAATAACTTGGGCAAAAGTAAAAGTTGCCGGGGCTTTGAATAAACAGTTACGCTGATTTAATTTGCCAACCAAAAAAAAAAAAAAAAAGTATATATATATACGAAAAAAAGAAAAGCGAAAATAGGCAAAATGACGGCGAAGGAAATTTCTATCACAGTATGTTGTCTGTCACCCTCGATTTGATTTTTAAATTGCGTTCGTGATAAATTGACGAAATGAACAGCAATAACGGTGGCGAGAAAAAATCTCAAGTAAAATTGACAACTGTCAAGACTGTCTGCCGTCTGCCGTCTGGCCCCCCAGTGATCCCTCATCCGGCGCCCCTGGACGTCCTCCCAATAGACATATAAAAATTAACTACAGACTACTTATCTTATTTGTTGATGCCAGGCCCCAAGGACCAAGAACCAAGGACCAAGCACCAAGCGCCCGGAAGCTGGCTACAAAAGTTTGTCAGCGGCTTTTGATGTGTCCTTTATATGGGCAAATGAGCATGGCTATGGGTATGTGTGTGTGCATTTTTGGGTGTATTTTTGGTTTTATTTCTGGGCGCATGGGGTGTACTGTTGGGTGTGACAATATGCGTGGAACAGGAAGCAAGCAATCAACGCGAATGATATGCCAAATGGTAATGACCAAAACTAAAAAAAAATAAGATAAATGGTTCAACCAGACTTTTTTCAATCTGTTTTTAATATTATTATAGATTCACAAGCAGTTGTGCGCGAAAATCTAGCTGTGCGCTTCTAAAAATTTTTTTTTGGACTTTGTATATACTTTTCTTACAAATAAAAATTATATAAATGCTTGAAAGCATAACTTTTTTAATATTGTAAGCTTTAGAAATATTTTAATATTATTTCTTAATTAGTAAGTGCGTTTTCTTTAGTTTCTTGAACTATATTATACGATTTTCTTTAGAAAAAGGCCCCATGACTCACCTCTGCCGCTCCTGCCCACAAATCGCAGATCGTTGAACTTCGCCACCTGATTCTTCATCACGGCCGTACAATTTCTCAGTTCTCCACAGAAGTTCTCATCATTTCCAGCCCGAATAGTGACTATTGTGCCATCCATGACCTCGCCCAATGCCAAAACCTTGAAGGCGATCGGTAGGGTTTTATTAGAGCGCCAGTGTGTGGGCAAAGTGGTGCAAACCTGTTTGGGTCATGTCAAAATTATTGATGAGTCAGCGAATTTAAAAAGGATTTTTTTAATATATATATATGTATGTATATGATATATATATATCAAAAATCTTCCATTTTAGGATTTATAAAAATACTTTAAGAATGAAACCTGTTGCTATAAAAAATAATATATCCTTTTGGGGCTTATGTTGGTTAAAATAATGTATTCACTATAATTTAACTATGTTATTACACGTTTCGTAACCTTGTTTATTGTTGAAATATATACATTTTGAATTAAAAAAAAAGTTTTACTAAAAGACTGTATCCCTTCCAATTTAAGTACAAAGTTGTCCAAAAGTATGCAGTAAATATTAGAACATGATTATTTGTAAGGAGTTCATCTGATTTTCTGACAAAAATTGAATTGTTGCATACTTTACGGCACCGTTTAAAGTTTTTTTTAAACCGTAGTGATTTCTCGGGCATATCTGCATATCTTTGCTACTAAGTATTCGATTGGTTTGGGGATCCAAAAAGGATGTGCTTAGGCAATTTCTTAGGGAATATTTTTTAATTAATATTTAGTTTTAAAGTTAAGTTAGCTGATAGCCAAACAAGGATTTATCCATCCATTGGCGAATAAATAAATAAATAAAGTCATTGGATTGGTGTACTCACCACATGTGGTGACCCCGTCTTGACCAGTTCGCCGGGATGTTCGGCGAGCAGGACGTCGACGGTGCGTTCGATGAGATTCTCGGGGGTCAAATAAGGACTCGTGTCCACGGGCTTTGTTTTAACATTATTATTATTATTGCTGTTGTTGTTGTTGTTATTCGTGGTGCTGTTGTTGTTGTTGTTATTATTGGTGGTGTTATTGTTGTTGTTAGTGGTGCTGGAATTGTTGTTATTGTTGGCAGAGGACTCAGCATTTCGCCGCTTCGTTGTGGTCGTCGTTGTTGCTGTCTGTTGTTGCTGCTGTTGCAGCGTTTGATGTTGCTGCTGTTGCTGCTGATGTTGTTGCTGCTGCTGATGTTGTTGCTGCTGCTGATGTTGTTGCTGCTGCTGATGCTGTTGCTGCTGCTGCTGCTGCTGCTGCTGTATTTGATTTGAGGTGGTCGAACTGACCTCAGCAGAAATGTGCATTATTGCAGCTGCTAGCTGGGCACAAGGTATTTCAGGGCTCCTATTTGGTTGCCAGTACTCGCATTCAGTGGATTCAGTTGCCGGCGGGTTTTCGTGGGTTTTCGGTTTGATTTCGATGCCTGCCTCAAAGAGTCGACGCTTTCAATCCGATCATTGTCAGCTCATTTGGTAAATCTGGAAAATTAATGTGGACTGCGAGTGAAATTCGGATTGCCAAAGGTGTTCTTTCAAGTGAATTCTTCAAAAATTCATAAAATATTTTGAAAACAAATGTGTTAATATATAAAAACAAACAAATTTTGTTAGAAAATAAATACAAACAAATATAAATCACTATTATTATGGCCAAATTTAAATAATTTACTTAGTTTTTTCCTAATTTGCTTACGTCAAAATCGTTTTTTGAAACACCTTCTGATAAATGTTTTTCCTTTTTCGAAAGCTTTTGTTATTTAGAAATAACAAACACAATTTATGCAGCGTTTAAATTATTTAAAAATTTTAAAAAATTGCAAATATATCACTTGAAAAATATTACCAGAAATTCGCTTAATTTTCGCTTAATTTCACAATTGTTAATTTGGAAAACGTTTTTTGGAACACCGGCACTGATAACTTTATTCCGGATTTCGACGCTTTTGTTGTTTTCCTTCTTTGTTTTTCCGTTTTTCAGCCCGCATAAGTATGCTGCACTCAATTATTATTGCACTTTGACCCGAGGGGTTCGTGGGGACACAAAGGCAGATCCAGATTCGGATCCAAAATCGCGAATCAGAAACAGAAACAGAAACAGAAACAGTTGCTGTATAGTATCTGGAAACCAAACAGAAGCAAAGCGAATTGAATTGAATTGTATTGAATCGCAGCGAACCGCACACCTTTGCGCACAATTTGCATTTAAGCCGACGTTGGCGAGTGCAGCTCAATTAAATATTAAAAAATCATAACCAATAATGAGGAATTTCGAGCCGTTGGCCGGGCCCAAACTAAGATGTACGACAACTGCATCTGTGTGCGGCCGGAAAAAAAAGTATCCATTTCATGTCTATCAAATGGCTGAATAAAGTGCGGAAAAAATGGTGAAAAAATGGGGAAAAATTATCGAAAGCGCCAGATGTTGCTTGTGTTTGGCCACCAAAAAATCAACAATGCCCAGCCAGTCGCTTTTGTTTAAATAAAAACCAGTTGCCGGACACAGCCGCGTTTTGTTTTCAATCCGGCGTTCTTTACCTTTTTTGCCAACTATTTTCAGGATACTTTTATCGGCCGATTTTTCAGTCATTAAAGTTATATCAATAACCGAGTATATCAACCGATGATAAAAAATAAAGTTATTGCTATAAATTAAAGTGTAATTAAATAAAGCCTTTTTTAGACTTCCATTTCTAATGTCAATCAATTTCCAAACCAATAACCAAAGCTTACTAAATATTTATTGCAAAATGGAAATGCCAAAAATTTATGTGCCGAAATTAAACAATTATTTACAAAAGATTAGTTCACAAAAAGAACAATCCACAAATTTGGGTATTAAGCTATAATATATTTCAAAAAGAAAAAAAATGTATTAACTAATAAAATTCTTACAACAAAATTGTTAAAAAAAAATGTTGTATACAATTTTAAGTAATTTAATTTTTAAAATTAATAGGAAATATATTCACAAAAAAAAGAGTATTTACAGCAGCTGGTAATAAAAATCCCTGAAATTTTCTTCTTGTTTTGTATTGTTGTAGCAAGTGGTGCACAAATACAAGCAGACCTAAAGATATATATCCATACATATATATACGCTGCGTATTCGCGTTTTTACAACTTCCGCTCTGAAATGAATACATATGTGTACGTGTAAATTTATATATTTATATATATTTAAATGCATTTTTTGCCCGCTGCCGATTGCAGATGCCCGGCCAAATCAGCTGGCCAAGCGACTATGTGGCGACATATGTGGCCACAGATGAGAGGAAAAGGGGAGGAACAGGGATCGTGTTTGAAAGAGGGGTTCCGCCAAAGTCGGTCTAAATAATTGGTTAACAAACAAGTCGGTGACGGGGCTAGCCACACAATTAGACCAACAAATGTAAGTTAACTCGTGGGCAAAAATAAGAATTTATGCGGAATTGTGGGACTTAGAAAACCAGTAGATTTGACTTGAAAATTATGATAAAGGCTAAACATTAAGTGCCGAAAATTTAAATCGATCTTAAATAAAAATATATCATATAATATAATAATTATTGATGAACATAATGTAATTAAAATCGACAGCTACAATTTATGGTGTAAAATAAAATATAATTCTTATATTTAATATGTTTGAAATATTTAATTTGAATTATACAATGTAAAAATCATTATCAGAAAAACTTCTTTAAATAATTGGATTGTATGACATATTTTTTTAATAAGTGAAAATCTGTTAAGAACCAATTTAGTCCAATAATGATTAATGATTAACTAAAATGTTTAATATTTTTATTTGATTAAATATTAAAACACGGCATACATTTTTCTGAAACATTTAATTAAAATACTTTTTAATATAAATATTATAAGCACAATCAAAATAAAATGTGCCGAATCAAAAAAAAACTTAGCAAGTTAGTTAAACTTAGCTAAATATACGGTGTAAAAACTTTGTTTAAATATTTTTGTTTTTGTCTGCTGATCATTTGAACAAAATTGCATTAATATCCAGTAGAAGCTTTTTTATTTACGAAATTTATATGCTTGAAGATCACTAATGTTATATTTTAGGGACGATCTTGTTTATTTACCTTCAACTTACTTATTTTTCGCAGTTTTCAGGTTTTTTACATATCTCCCAGCACCAAAAATACGAGTTGGATTTATGTAGATATTTTATTTGCCTTTTATGTTGTTATTACACCATGAGCACTTCAAAAAAATTAATTGAATTTTGACCAGACTTTTTCAATTTTGGGCTTTTTAATTGTGGTTATTTTGTTTAGCCACCGGCACACACAACACACACGCACTCAGACACAGCTAAAGATACAGATACAGATGCAGGGACTCAGAGACACAGACACAGACACATATACGGGGGCTGAGACTGGCGATCGAATCAAACGACACGGAGATATTAAACTATTTTTTTGCGGTAACCATGAACGCGACCACTACGAGCGGTTGGCAACGTCGACCACCGACGCCGGCAGCAACGTCGACCGCGACAGCGACGCCGGCAGAGGGCCCCACGATTTGAAATAGAAGAACGTTCGTGTTCCCAGCATCCAAAAGTAACGAAGTCTCACGCAGGACTCACGAAGTCGCCGGAGGATGCGAAGGATGTGAAGGACGATGGAGCGCAGACGACGCCTCATCATAATCACAGGCGAAAAGAAGCGGGACCACCCACTACCCCACTACCCCACCACCCCCCAGAACACCCCCGTCCTTCATCCTAGAGCGACATCACCCCGCCCCCCAGGGGAACGTCTATGTCGACTTCTTACTCAACTGCAGGGGGTATATACAGTTGAAACTCCATTTAGCGAAAATAACGAAAAGAAATAAATAGCCCATTCTTTAAATCAGTACGTTTGTCAATCAGTTACAAATTAAACTAAGCATATTATTAACACATTATTAAAAGAAACATATGACTAATTAAATACTCATAAAACTAAAAATAAGAGGTTTCAGGCCAAATATTCTTAAAAAGAAAAATGTATTTTTCAAATCCGGCGCGAAGGACCAAAAAGGTACTTATTGGAAAATTTTTACTATTGCCCATTAACTTTTGCAATTCCGGATTTAGTTAACGCTATCACAGAGAAGAATGTAAGATTTTTATTACAACTGTCGATCACACGATAAAATTAAAAATAAATACAAAATTTAAGAGCTACCAGAATTAAGTAATGCTCAAAATTTACAATCTGTTAGATATCTTGTGTACCGAGTATTATCGAGTATATTTTCCAATGATTACAGGACATTTTGATGGGTCCTACTTAATGTTCGACTTACCGAGGTCCGACTGTCGATGTTTTCTTGGAATTTTTTTTCACAAGCCTGGCTGCTGTTGTTGTTCTGGGTGCTTGGATGCTTGGATGCCACTTCTCCTTCTTTTTGGCTTAACATTTACCGCGAGAACCAGTAGCAGCGGTTGTTGTTCGACAGCGCAGTCGACGCTGACGACGACGTCGGCAGCGACGCCGGCAGAGGGAGGGGCAAAGGGCCAAGTAAACCGAAAACCGAAAACCGAAACCAGAAAACGTCAACTACACCACAAGCAGAAAGGCCGCAACGACGTCTTCAAGTTGGCCAGAGCCGCCGTAGCACCACCCATTACTGCCATCCACCTACCCCACCACCCACAACCTCACCACCTCACCCCTTACCACCCCCACGAAAAAAGGGCAACCCACCACGAGTCTTAGAAAAATTGCGCTCAATTTTTTGGCGCACTCTGGAAAAAATGCCTGGCAAGAGTGAGAGGTAAACAGACAGGCCCGAAAGAGACGAACGAACTTCTTGAGTTTTTTCCCAGGCTTTCCTTGGCATTTCTTTGCATTTTTTTTGTTTTCTTTTTTTTTTTCTTCAACCCCCGAAGGAATTTTGTCTTGGAAAGGACTCAAAAAGAAAAATCTCACCTCACAAAAACAAAAAAAATAAAACAGCAAAAGCAAAGCGTTGGAGACGCGGCTTTGTGGCAAACCAGGAATTGGTAAGCCAGCGCGAAAGAGATGGCTGCATCATGCGGGAAAGAGACGGGGCTAATGGGGGAGCGAGCGAGAGGGCCGATATCTTGCGGCTGCCATTTGCGGCCAAGAAAACCCAAAGAATGAGTGAAAAATCGCAACCACATGGGGCACAACCAACCGCCCGCCCATCTAAGAACAAAAAAAAAAAAAAAAAAAAGTCAACAAAAAAAAAAATTCCCTACAGGGCGGTGCTAAATACTTCCTTAGGTTTTTTCGGTTTTTCGCATTATTTCGTAGGCCTTTGCAACCCTCCGTCGTTTTGCGGTTTCTTCGAAAGGGGGTTAAGTGTGGGACATGGGTTAAGGGGTGGTATATGTGTTGGTGTCAGCGGTTGCGCACCACCAAGGATATGTGTATGTGTGTGTGTGTGAGTGTGGTTGGGCATTATGAAACCGCAGGAATTATTACACGCTGCGGTCGATTACTATATCAAAACTCCTCTAATCAGGCATCTGTATCGGACAGGGGTGCTGCTCACACACACACACACACACACACGGAGGCTGAGGAACAACCACAACCACTATTGCAACCGCACACACACATACACTTTGATAGCCAACCAAAACTACGCGTTCCGCTTGAGTCAATGCAGCCAATGAGCGGATTTCGATTGCCAGGCCGCTCGCAAATTCGCCAGCCAGCGGATTCGATTCGGCGGAAAAATTCCGTTGGAGCCACGGAAAAATGGTGGAAAACAAAGCAAAAAGTCACCGGGAAAACAAAATCAAACTAACTAATTGGCTTCACTTAGAACATCGTTATTAGCCCTAGTCTAAAATATATTTCAGTCAATCATATATATATATACATTTATATTTATAATTTAATTTATTATATATATAATAATTTAAATATTATCTGAATATGTCAAATATTAAATATAATAATATATTAAATAATTTATGAATAAGTCATATATTAAAAATAATAATATTTTAAATATTATATGAATATGTCTATTATTGAAATTAATAATGTTTTAGATATTATATGAATATGCCAAACTTGGCTAAACTTAAAAGGACTGCTAAAAGGAAGACCGATTTGTGCAGCTGATGATGTAAGCTAACAATCTTCACTATTTTTGTACGCTTTTCGAATTTTTTATAAGGGGTTACATCACGTTTTTTGATAAAACGGGCCAAAAATAAAAAATTTCAAGGTTTGAATGCCAAAAAATTTGGAATTATAGTACAAGATCAAAGAGGTGCGACTCTTCATTATTGGGCCCATAGTTTTACTGTTGTGGCAAAAATACTAATTATTAAATAATAATTTTGCAAAAAAAAAAAAAACTTTTTACCCTTTTTTGTTTTAACATGGCCAAAACTATACGCATATTACAAAGACTGACTGATTTTTGTAGCTCTGCACCTTATCTAATAATTCCCATCACTCTTTTGCAAAATAATTTTAAAATAAATTTTCTATTTTTTTTATAAGTAATTAAATTTTTTCAACATTTTTAGAAAAAAAATTTATTCATTTATAGGCAAATTTGTACATCATATTAATGTTTGGTTTGTTTAAATCGTGAAAAACCAAGCTCTCGATGTTCGTTTGTTTGTTGGCTGAACTCTCTTAAGGGCTCTGGAAATATGCCAGTCTTCTGGTATCTTTTCGAAACTAATTTGCCCCCAATTAGTAGATTTCCGCATGTGTGACATTGTCGCCGGTTTGAATAAGTTCTGTGTGCTTATCATTAGCCGAACACTCTGACACACACGTGGAGCTTATCGATGACACCCTTTCGCCCAGCCCATGCCACCTCAATCCCCCCTACCCCCTACAACCACCGCCCCTGCCAAAGAAACCAAGCCAATTAAAACGATAAACCAAAAATGCCCAGCGGCGTCACCGAGGAGGGTAAATAATAATGAGAACTGAGAAGGAAATAAAGAAAAGATGAAAAAAACTGCAGAAAAATAACGATTTTTTACTTTCCACTCCCATTTTCCTGGGCTTTCCTTCTTTCTACACAAAGAAAAAACTTGCCAAAATTGGCGAAGATTTTTAATATTATTATATTAATTATAATTTAATTTCAACTTAAAATTGAATATATATTAAATTATCTATATACATGTGTATACCATGTAATTTTAGTTTTTACTATTTGAAATATGAAATTGAAATGTAAACACAACTGAAAATTATTCAATTCCCTTCTAGGTATACATATTGATATATTTAAGGTTTTCAAAAAGAATATTAAAAAAATGTTTTATATATAAGGAAGTTTTCGGTGTATTATATATATTTTTATTTTCCTCCGTAGTTAGAGGCAAGGAAAGGCGTTCAAGTTGCAAGACCGCTAAGCAACGACACCAGCACCACCACCCACTCAGTCACCCACTGCCACACCCACCGCCTCCTCGAAAGAGGAAGGACAATTATGAAGCAAGTTGGTCGGCGGAAGCTCAAGGAGCACAGGAGCGAAAAATCCTTGCAGCCGCTGAAAGATTTTGTGCAAATAATTCTAAAGTGGAACGACAATGGCTGGCAAAGCGGTGGCAAGTGCCACTGAAGTGGGTGAGTGGGTGGGTGGTGAGTGGGAGAGTGGTGCTGGTTACAAGGCGGTGCCACACTTTACATATACCCTTCAGAAACGAAGGGTACTATTTATTTAAACAGAACATTTATGCAAATTTTGGTTAACGGCTTTATTTTATTAAAATTTATACATTATTTATTATACAATCTAATTGTTTTTCATAGAACTACAATAGTAATCGAAACAAAACGATTGCAATAATCCCAATTTAAACAATTTAACAAATGAAGAAAAATTTATTTTAAAAATTAAGTAAAATATAGCATTACTTATGCATGACAGAAGAAAATAGTTATTTAATTGTAATTGTAAGCAAAAATTTTTACAATTACTTACAATATTAATAAATACTTTAATTTATAATATATCGTTAATATATATAATTAGTTGGTCCAGTTTTATTTGTCTAGTTATATCATTTGATATCCATAAAATTACTTATATTACATACAAGAACACAATTTTATTATTTTTTTCCTAATAACAGATGTGTCTGAAGTGTAACTTTTTTTCCTATTACAAAATTTTTTTTTAAAATATAATGTAGCTACTATTTTTTTTTTTGTATTTTAAGCTTCCTACAATTTATTAAAAGGGTATATTATAACCAAATGAAATCGTAGTCCTATTTCCTAACCTCTTATTCCATCTCCTTCCCTTTTGTGCTTTTGTGTTGATTTTTCTTTTAATTGTTGCGGATTTGCATTCTGACACATTTGTCAACCTCAACAAAAAAAAAAAAAAAAAAGACGGGGAAAAGGAAGGAAGTGGGGACGGGACAAGGTTTGTTTATTATTT